AGCGGCTGTATGCGCTGGACGTGGCGCGCATCGCGGCGGGGGAAGACCGCCGCACCACGCTCATGATCCGCAACATCCCCAACAAGTACACCCAGAAGATGCTGCTGGCGGTGAGCGGCGACTGGGGTGGGGGGGGTGGGCGGGTCGGCCTGACGTGGCAGGGCCGGGGGGCCGCGACTCTGTGCCGTGCCGGGAGTCCTCCTGTGGCCGCGGACCTGGACTTGTTCCGCCACGCTGCCCTGCGCCAGCGCCGCTGACCTGCAAGCGCGGTGCGGCCGAGCTGCATGGCCGCTGGTCGATGCGCGGTGCGGCCGAGCTGCATGGCCGCTGGTCGATGCGCGGTGCGGCCGAGCTGCATGGCCGCTGGTCGATGCGCGGTGCGGCCTCCCTGGACCTCGAAGCGTCGGCCCTGTCGAGCGAGGCGGAGGGCCTCACCTAAGCGGGCCAAAGCCTCACAGATCTCACCACTCCCCATCCTCCCCCCCTCCCCCACCAACACACACACACACACCAACCACCTGCAGCTGATCGAGGAGCAGTTCAGGGGGGCGTTCGACTTCTTCTACCTGCCCATCGACTTCAAGAACAAGTGCAACGTGGGCTACGCCTTCATCAACATGGTGCGCCCTTCCTCCATCCCGGGGCTGGTGGCGGAGCTGCACGGCAAGCGCTGGCCCAAGTTCAACTCGGAGAAGGTCTGCTGCATTACCTACGGCCGCATCCAGGTGTGTGTGGGTTTGGTGGGGGGCGCGGGGACGGTGTGGGGGGGTTACGTTGACCGTCAGGGAGGGGGACTCTGGTGTCAGCCCTCTGGCGCAGGGTGGGGCGAGGGAGGGCAGGGTGGGCCGCGTCCGCGATGAGCTGGTGAGGCCCTGCACCGGCCCCACCGCTCCGTGGCTGGGCCAGGCTTGGACGTCTCATCCGTCCGAGCTCTGGGCGCTCTGCTTTCTGGCTCGACCCTGCGCATCACCTCCCTCAAGACCCATGCCCCAAGTCTCTCGACCAATCACATCCTGCAGGGCAAGGCGGCGCTGGTGCAGCACTTCCAGAACTCCAGTCTGTTGCACGAGGACAAGCGCTGCAGGCCCATCCTGTTCCACACCGAGGGCGAGCTGGCAGGGGAGCCAGAGACCTTCCCCCCCGAGCCCTGACCCCCCTTTTTACCAGCAGCCGGGTTTTCCGGGGGCATCCCGGAGGGACTGGGGAGGACGGCGTTCGTCACCCACCCTCTCCCCTTCCCCTCCGGCCACCCTCTTCGCACTTGATCTCTGAAATCGTGTTTGCACCCTGGGTGCCCTCAGCTCTTTGTTCCGTGAGGGAGAGCCACACCCGTTTCCCAGAGCCCTGCTGGGGGGTCACAGTGCAGCACACTCCTGTTTTTGATCGGTGGGAGAGTCTCTTTCCTGCCCCACCACCTTTGTCCTGAGCGCAAGGCGAGAGTGCTCCAGGTCTTCCGGCACGGTCCAAGCCTTTGTGGTGCACACACCACAGAGGCAGGCGCGATCGCCATGGATTAGCACCCGCGTCCTGGAGTCCATTCCTCCCAACCTAGTTGCACCGTCCTCTGGCAGCTGATGGCCCTTGTCTCAGCACGTTCTCGTGAACTGTGCCCCCATGTTTCTCCCTCCTAGTTACTCAAATGAAATCCGTCTAGTCAGTTCGTACAGTATGGTTTAAGAGTATGTTTGCATGGGGGACTGCAGGGTTCACCCTGGTCAGGGCCCGTCACAAGGAGAAGTTTCCTCCTTCTCCTGTCGACTCGGGGGCCTGGCAGGGTCCTGCAGGAGCAGGGCCACCTCCCTTCCAGGGGGGGTTGGGTGTGTGAAGCTCGTTCCTAATATTCTGAACTGAGGGAAGGCTGTATGGAAGTGGTGTCATTGGGAGAAACTCCACCTTGCACCCCCCACCCTCACCTGAGGCCCAGGTGCTTGGGCTCCGAGCTGGAGGTGGCCTGGGAGGTCAGCCCTCGAGCGCAGTTCAGGCGGTGAAGGTTCTGCTCGATGGTGTCGTTCATCACAAACCTGGGCGTGGCTCAGGGCAGGGTGCAAGGGGATGAGGGGGGGCGGGTGGCAAGAGATGTGGCCCAGAGGCCCCAGCAGGGTCCCTGGTTCAGTCCCCTCCAGTCAGCTTCATCGCGGCAAATTCATCAAGCTCGTCGCCATCTGGCCCTCAACACAGCCATGCACATGTCCAACGCAGGGTTGATCACCCGCATGGCTGACCAGTCTGCGGCACGAAAGTAACTCACTGGCAGCCTGCTGTGCTGCACATCGCATCCCAGCTCCAGCCTCCCCCCAGTCGACGCCAGAGGCAGGCTGGCCCCTCCCCCTCGCCGCCCCCCCCTCCGTCCCCCCTCTGTAAAATCAACCCCACTGTCCCACCTGTACACGTGCGTCTCTCGCAGCTGGCCCACGCGATCTACGCGCCCCACGGCCTGAGCCTCCAGCCCCGGCGAGCGCAGCGGCTCCACCAGGATCACGTGCTGGGCGGCGGTCAGGTTCAGCCCGTTCCCACCCTGCTTCACCAGCAGCAGGAGCACGCGCGGCGTGGCAGAGCCTGCGCCGGCGCCAGGCCCCACCTGGAAGGCCGCGAAGGCCGGGGCCAGGGCCTTGCGGGTCTGGGGGTGGGCGTGCGGGACGGCGTTGCGGCCGAAGGCGTGCTCCAGCAGGCGCAGCACGTCGCGCCAGGTGGAGAAGACGATGATGCGCTCATCGGGACCGCGTTCCAGGATGTCCTGGACGCAGCGCAGCACCGCCTCCAGCTGCGGCAGGGGGGAAGGAAGGGGATTTGGGCTTTTGGGGGGGTGGGTTTCTGGTCGATAGCTGTTGAGTCGCATGGAATCGGTGTCGCATGCTGAGCGGAACTGCGCGTGGCATGCTGTGCGCGCTTCGTGACTGGCGTCGAGTCTGCGGCTGCAAGCGGTTGTGCTGTGCCCACTCATTTCTGCTGCTGTTGGCGTCATGGACTCGGCCGCATGGGGGCCGTGTCCTGGCGGCTAGAGAACCTGGCGTGAGCAGTACTTGCACGAGAGGTTTTGTTCCCAGCCGTGCAAGCTTCCCCTTTGCTTCCATTTCGGCGGCCTGCAGTGTGATAGTATGAGAATGGCGTCATGCTGTGCACGTTGGAGTGGGTGGGTTTGCCACTGGTGTGCCCATGCAACCCCCGGACACGTCTGGCAGCTTCCGGACAGTTCCAGGGGTCACGGGATGGTTCCAGGTACACGATGCGTGCCCCTTGGGCGAGGAAAACCCAAACCCCGGGCCACTGCACTCCCCCCCTAGATACACATATATAATTAAGCGCTTCGATAATTACTCGTAATTCCCATTCATTGACGATCACAACGCACACACACGTACGGCATGGACCCCAACAAGATCACGTCCAAAGTGGCGGAGATGGTGAATGCGGCCCGGGACCTGGCCCTCGAGTCCTCCCACCAGCAGATAACGCCCTCCCACCTGGCCATAGCGATGCTGGATGACAGGCAGGGCGTTCCTGCCCAGGCCCTGGCCCGCGTCGGGGGCGAGGAGGCCGTGGCCTCCGTCCTCCGGGTGCTGAAGAAGGGCCTGGTGCGGCAGCCGGCTGTCGACCCGCCCCCCGACGAGGCGTACCTCAGCAACGACCTCAAGAAGGTGTTTGCCACCGCCACCAAGCTACAAAAAGCCAAGGGCGACGGATTCCTAGGTGAGTGCTTTTGGTGGGGGTGGGTGCTTACGGTCTCTGGAAGATTCCATCGTGCAGGGGAGGGTGGGAGCACAGTGCAGGCGGTGGGGCAGGTGTTTGCCCGACGTGTCATCCACCATCACCTCATGCCAATCCAATCACCCCGCGCCACCCTCACTCCTCCCTTCCACCCACCTCACTCGCTCCAGGCATCGACGTCGTGTTTGAGGCCCTGCTGGGCAACAAGGTCGTGGCCGCCGCGCTGGCCGAGTCCGGCGTGGGCAAGGCCCAGGTGGAGACGGCGCTGGCCGACTCGCGCTGCGGCGCCACCGTGGACTCGGAGACGGCGGACACCCAGTTTGACGCGCTGGGAAAGTATGGCATGGACCTCACCGCGCGCGCCGCGGAGTTGGACCCCGTGATCGGGCGTGACGACGAGATCCGGCGCACCATCCGCGTGCTGTGCCGCCGCACCAAGAACAACCCGGTGCTGATCGGGGAGCCGGGCGTGGGCAAGACCGCCATCGTGGAGGGCCTGGCCCAGCGCATTGTGCGCGGCGACATCCCGGAGACCCTCAAGGTACTTACTTTTGGGGTGGGGGGGTGGGTGGGTGTTTGGTGGGTGGGGTTGGGGGGTTCCTGGGAAAGGGTGGGGGGCCGCACAAATGGATGCCGGCACCCATCACCCACACGTCCCCGCCCTCAGAGGTCCATACACACAACCCCCCCCCTTTCCAATCCTCACCAGGGCGTGAGGCTGATCTCGCTGGACATGGGCTCGCTGGTGGCGGGGGCCAAATACCGCGGCGAGTTCGAGGAGCGGCTCAAGGCGGTGCTGAAGGAGGTGCAGGACGCTGCGGGGCGCGTCATCCTGTTTGTCGACGAGCTGCACACCGTGCTGGGCGCGGGCAAGACCGAGGGCGCCATGGACGCGGCCAACCTGATGAAGCCGCTGCTGGCGCGCGGCGAGCTGCGCATGATCGGCGCCACCACGCTGGCCGAGTACCGGGAGGGGGTGGAGAAGGACGCGGCCTTCGAGCGCCGCTTCCAGCAGGTCATGGTGGGCGAGCCCTCCGTGGCCGACACCGTGCAGATGCTGCGCGGGCTGAAGGAGCGCTACGCCAGCCACCACGGCGTGCAGATCGCGGACCGCGCGCTCGTGGCCGCCGCCACTCTGGCGGACCGCTACATCACCAACCGCTTCCTGCCGGACAAGGCCATCGACCTGGTGGACGAGGCCTGCAGCGACCTGCAGGTGCAGCTGGAGTCCAAGCCCGAGGCCCTGGACCGCATGGAGCGCGCGCTGATCGGGCTGCAGGTGGAGGCCAAGGCGCTGGAGAAGGAGAAGGACAAGCAGAGCGTGGCCCGCAGCGCGGAGGTGGCCGCCGAGATCGCGGCCCTGCGCGACGAGCTGCAGCCCCTGCAGATGCGCTACCAGAAGGTGAGAGCTGGGGGGCGAAGTGTGTGTGGGGAAGGGTGTTCTGAGTTTGGAGCGTTCCTGAGTGACACTGGTCTGGTGTCTGTGGCAGGGGTGTGTGCATGAAACAGATATCTCTCATCCTTGCGTCAACCAGAGGCCAGCGGCGGCTTGCATGGCACTGGCCTATCCCCTATGCCGGTGGCCATTTCCATCCCGATCATCCCAGCCCACCCTCATTCCACCTACTTCCACCCAACCAACCCAACCTCACCTCTCACCAACAACCCCCCCACCACACACAACAACTCACCAGGAAAAGGCGCGGCTGGAGGAGATCAAGGCGCTGCAGAAGAAAAAGGAGGAGCTGAGCATCCGGCTGGAGCAGGCCGAGGCGCGCATGGACCTGGCCATGGTGGCCGACATCCGCTACGGCGCGCTGCAGGAAGTGGGCGAGGCCCTGCGCGCCAAGCTGGAAGCCGCGGCCTCGGGCGACAGCATGTTGTCGGATGTGGTTGGGCCCGAGCAGGTGGCCGCCGTGGTCTCCAAGTGGACCGGCATCCCCGTCACCAAGCTGCAGGTGGGTGTTGTCATTGGTGGTGCCTTGGTTTTGGGACAAGCTTGCCGGGCATGCGAGCGCAAGGCCTGGCGCAAATCGGGCGGCCAACAGCGTCGAGCATCCATCGGTCGATGGGCTTGGCGCCGCCTCTCCTCCCAACATGCTGTTGGCTCGCACGTTCTTGCCCATCTCGCAGTCCTCTCACGCCGCGCCTCGAGCCCCAACGCCCCTGCTCCACCTCTCCAAACTCCCAACTCGCTCACACACTCACTCACCGCTCACCCCCCCGCAGTCCACCGACCGGGAGCGGCTGCTGAACCTGGAGGCGGAGCTGCACGGACGGGTGGTCGGCCAGGACGAGGCGGTCAAGGCGGTGGCGGCGGCGGTGCTGCGCTCGCGCGCGGGCCTGGGCGCGCGCGGCCGCGGCTCCAGCTTCCTCTTCCTGGGGCCCACCGGCGTGGGCAAGACGGAGCTGGCCAAGGCGCTGGCGGCCGCACTCTTCGACAGCGAGCGCGAGATGGTGCGCCTGGACATGAGCGAGTACGGCGAGCGGCACAGCGTGTCGCGCTTGGTTGGCGCGCCGCCCGGCTACGTGGGCCACGACGCGGGCGGGCAGCTGACCGAGGCGGTGCGGCGCCGGCCTTACTGCGTGGTCCTGCTGGACGAGGTGGAGAAGGCCCACCCCGACGTCATGAACCTGCTGCTCCAGGTGCTGGACGATGGGCGGCTGACCGACTCCAAGGGCCGCACCGTCTCCTTTGCCAACACGCTGCTGGTCATGACCTCCAACCTGGGCGCGGCGGCGCTGCTGGCCGGCGGCGGCGGCCCCGCCGCGCGCGCCGCGGTGGCCGCCGCCGTGCAGGCCCACTTCCGGCCCGAGTTCGTCAACCGCATCGACGAGCAGGTGGTATTCGAGCCGCTGACCCGCGACCAGCTGCGCCAGGTGGCGGCGCTGCAGGTCGCCGAGCTGGGCGGGCGCCTGGCCGATCGCGGGGTCACCCTGACCGCCACCCCCGCCGCGCTGGACTACGCGGTAACCCAGTCCCACGACCCAGCCTACGGCGCGCGCCCGCTGCGCCGCTGGCTGGAGCACGCCGTGGTGACGCCGCTGAGCCGCATGATCGTGGGCGGGGAGCTGCCGGACGACTCGCGCGTTACGCTGGACTGCCCCGACCCGGCCACGGGCCTGACCTTCGACGTGCGGCCCGATGCGGAGGCCGCCGCCGCGCGCGCCGCCGCCGCCGGCAGCCGTCCGGGAAGCTCGGCCAAGAAGCTGCGCCTGACCGACCGCGCGCTGGAGAACGGCATGGACCTGGACTCGGAGGACGAGGAGGAGTGAGGGGGCTCGAAGATCTCAGGGCGGGGGCCCGTCGTGCCACTCTGGCCCCTGCTGCCAGGGCAGACCAAGCAGGAGCCCCATGCTCCCCTCGCAGAAGATTTTCCGCCCTGCCAAAGCAAGGCCTCCTTATCACGAGCGATAGTACACATGCTGCATACCAAGTACCACCTCCTCTGTACAACCCCCTCGGCTCACGTTTTTTCCTGTCGAATGAAACCTGGAGGCCCTGGGACCATTTTCCGGTCAATTCCCTCGGTGCCGGAGCCGAGCCCTCCTCGCGCCCCTTCCTCTTGAATGTAATCCTGACGCACGATGCAGCAAGCTGTGTGACTTCCAGAGCGCCATTTGGTAGCCACCGAGGGGTAGGGAACAGGGGCCGCTGCGCCGTCCCAGGGCTGCAAGTGGGGAAGGGCACCTTGCCAGACCTGCTTCTGTACCAGCCCTTGGTTCCGCAGTGCTGCCACACTGGCTCTGGGGTCGCTGACGCTCCTCAAAGTTCAATGGTCTTTGCAGCTGGCGCGGCCGCTGACTGGTGGCTGATCCTGGCGGAGAGGTATCTGCTTGCTCCCCCCGGCGCAGGCTGTGGCTGAGGTTCGCCAAACCCCTTCCACCGGCTGTCTCAGTGGAGGAGGAGCTGCGCCTTGTCGCTAGACCCCGCCCTGCAGGACCCTGCTCCCAACAGTATCCGCGTTTT